CCCTCCCTCCCCGTCTCTCAGCGTATGTGTGTGTCCTGGTCGCGGCCAGGCTGGCCTGCCTGGCGCAGGTGTGAAGCGATCGCTCTGGTCTGGTCATCGGGTGCATTTGCATATGGCCCGGGTGCTGTGCTGCAGCGTGGCCTGCAGTAATGAGCCGCTCGAGGTGTTGGCGACGAGACAAAAAAAAAAGGAATTGTCGCATCACTTTTCGCAGATGTCCTCCCAGTGCAACGGCGCACGGTATTGTATTTATAATTTTTACGATTTATCCCTCCGCCTGTCTTTCTCTCCCTGTCCGTCTCGCCCTCTGATCTGGTTCTATCTAGTTTTTTTTTTCTCCTCATCTTGTAGGTCCGCAAACCGTTGACGACGCGGAGTCCAGTAACAGAGCGTTGGTTGTGTCAACATGTGTGGTGCGTTTTTCAAGAAGACGAAAAAAGAATTTCTCAGTTTAGGTCATCAGAAGTTGCGTTGCATTTTTTTTCTCCCTGTTCTGTCGTTTTTGATATCGGCCCCGTGGGGCGTCTCGTGTTACGATCGTGCTGTACCGCTCCGCTCTCTCTCCCTCTCGCACTCCGTGTTGCAACGGTCGCGGTGCTGACCGAGGGGGACGCGAAGTCGAACCTCTGGGTATCTAACCTCGGACGCGTCGCGTCCAGTTACTATGCGGCCGAGCACCACCACCACGGCGATAATGGTGTAAATAAAAATCACCTACCTCCGCACGCGAGCACTCCGAAGCAGACGACCGATAACCTCCGCTCTATAACTATCGCTAACCAAAATCATAATTTTCACCCTTCTTAAGCCAATGCACCCCGAGGAGAGGGGGGCTGAAGGGGGTGAGCAGGACGAGGGGAAAAGAGTCTGGCCGTCATCAATCAGGAGCACAACACGCAGGCGGCACGCAGGCAGGCCGGCCGAGGCCGGCACACCGGTCCGGGGCGCGCGCCGGCCTCGTGCCGCTGCGTGCGGCGGCGCTGCTGGCCTTCCTCCGCGACGGCCTCGGTCGCCGCGCGCCGAGCCGGGGCTAGAGCCGGTCCCGACCGGGCGGCGCGGGGCAGAGGTCACGGGGGTGGTGGAGGAGGGGAGGGGGATGCGGCCACGAGGCGGTCCGCGCCACGACTGAGCGCGCCGGAGCAACCCCTTCCCCCACCCGGGGGCCTTGCAGGGGTGGGGGTGGTCCGGCGCCAGAGCGGCGCGGGCGGGGAGGGGGATCTCAGACGTACGCGCGCGCGGCGCGGGCGCGGCCGGGCAAGACGGGGAGAGAAATCATTTTTAGTCGGCGGCGCGTCGAGGCACCACGGCCTGCCGCCCCCTCCCCTACGCCGCGCAGCGCCCCGACGCTTGGAGGGGAGGGAAAGTCTTGGGCCCGGAGTCTTGCGGCGCCGGCGCAGTCGGCCAAGGAGGCGCCCTCCCCGAGCCGCCCGTCCCGACGCCGCAAGGAGCGGAGGGGAGGGAGCGCCGCGGCGCTCGGGGTGGGGGTTGGCGCCACCGCCCGCCTTTTTCCCTCCTTGGCCACCCTTAGCTGCGTCTCTTTTTTTCCGCGCTCTTGAGATGGTGGCGCCGGGAAAAGGCTCCGGGAAGAATAGCCGCTCTTCAGTTCGCGAATCTTTCCCGGGCCGCACGCAGCTCTCGGGCGCCGCCGTCGCCGCACGCGCCGCGAGGGTCCCGAGGACGCCGTCGTCGTCGCGGAGGAGGAGCGCCCCGCCACCCCCGCCGCCGCGCCGCGATTCTTCCGCTTCTTTCGAGGAAGCGGGAGGAGGGGGTTGGAGTCAGAGTGAGACGGAGGCCGCCGTCGACGCCGTCGCCCGCTCCCTAAGAAGTGTCCGCGAGCTCCGCGTTCTTTCGGCGCGCGCCCCCGCCGCCGCCGCCCGCGCCGCCCCACCCGCCGCCGCCACCCGCGCCGCGTCGTGGTCGTGCCCGTGTGCTCCGACGTCTTGGTCCGTCTCTTGGCCCTGGCCGAGGAGGTTGTCTGAAGACGCTCCGCTCCCGCCCCTCACCCCCGTATAAGTGCTCGTGCGGGCGCGCGGAGCCCCCAGTCTACCCCGAGTCGCTCCTCAAGACAAGGTGACTGGTGCTGCGAGCCGCGCGGGGCCCGCCGACGACCACTTGCGTCCGCACTTACGACCCGGCACGCTGGATACCGACTTGCAGTCCGCCGGGACTTAGCGCGCGCCGCGTGTTCGCCTGTGTGTCGTGATCCGTCGTCTAGTTCAAAAAAGTGTTGGTGTCTGTGTCCGCGTGTCCGGTGTGTTTTTCGGAATGCCAAGCAAGTTGTCGTCGTCGCCGCCTTCGCACTCTGGATTACTTTTTTGGATTTCTGACGAGTCTGTCCATCACCTCGGACGTTGTCCTCCACGACTTGTCAGCTGACAGGGCCCGGCGCGCGCGAGCAGTTTTTTGCCGGCACGTCCGTGTGTTCCCTCTTTGGGCTCGACTCGTCGGGGACTCCGTCCTGGAGGCAGCAGCAGCGGTGCTTGTGTGTGTGTGCGTGAGCCTCTTGTGTTCTTACGCGTGCGGCCGCCCCACCTGTCACGGAGATGAAATAAATTTATCGGAAACGCGTCGCCGCTGCTGCCTCCGCGGACGAGCGGGGAAACATGACGGATACGAAACGGTTCGAGGTGAGTGAGTGCGGCGAGATGACTAATGCGCCCCGTTTTTTCTGCTCTTCTGCTTCCAGATTGAGCGACACTCTGGCCGCCGACACCGTCGTCGACGACCGGAAGAAGAAAAAGCCGAAGCTGGAAATTAACACGACGGCAACCACGTCGCCAGCGACAACGACGACGCCCCTTTGGATAACTAGTGCTTCATAGTGCAGTGATTGTGTTGCATGTGTGTGGCACGCGAGTGCCAGCAAGATAGGCATTGTGAGTGTGACGTGTGACCTGACTTGGCCGTCGGCCGCCCCCAGGGCCGCCCCCGCCTCCGCCATACAGCCCGAGCAGCACACGCCCGCCGCGGAGCCCGGCGGGTGCGGCGGACCGGCGGACCTGGTCGGCGTGCTGGAGCCCACCGCCACGGCCACCTTGGCGTCGGTCGGCTACGACGCCCTGCTGGGCCCCCTCGGCCCGCTGGGGCCCATCGGGCCGCTCAATCTCACGCGGGCCCGCGAGCTGCGCGAGCTGCACCAGCAACACCAGCAGCACCAGCACCAGCAAGAACAGCAGCTGGCTGGCGCCGCCAGCTCGCCGCGCCCCGTCGACTCTGAGGAGGACGACGACGAGGACGACGAGGACGAGGACGACGACCAGGAGTTCCCCCTGGCTCCGCCGGCGTCGTCCTCGTCGGCCCTCGCGCCCTCGCAACACCCCGCCATTCCCAGCCTGGGTGGCGGCAACCCCCACCCGGGGCCGCTGCCGGGGCCGCTGCCACCCGCAGGGCTGCCGTCCGTACAGACCCCCCTGGACCTCCGGTCCACGCCCGAGCAGCCCGGCGGGCCCGGCACGCCCATGTCCATCGACGTGCAGCAAGTGCAGAGGTCCGTCTTCAAGATGAGCCCGGACTTCTGGCAGCAGGCCCGGGGGCCGCCGGGCATGCCGCCCGGTGTCCCGCCGGCGCTGAGCGCACTCCTCGGCCAGCACAGCCCCAACTCGCTGGCCGCCCTGCAGCAGGCGCAGGCCCAGGCCCAGCAGCACCACCAGCAGCAGCAGCACTCGCCGCAGTCCAACGGCAGCGCGGCCGCCATGGCCATCGCCAACGGCCTGGCGGCCACTCTGCTGCAGCACCAGCAGGCCCAGCAGCAGGCTCAGCAGCAGGCCCAACAACAGGCCCAGCAGCAGGCCCAACAACAGGCCCAGCAGCAGGCCCAACAACAGGCCCAACAGCAGGCCCAGCAGCAGGCCCAGCAGCAGGCGCAAGCTCAACAGCAGGCCCAGCAGCAAGCGCAAGCCCAACAGCAGGCGCAAGCCCAACAGCAAGCCGCGCAAGCCCAACAGAACGCCCAGCAGCAGGCCCAGCAGCCCCAACCACAACCTCCCCAGCAAGACAACCCCGCCGTCCCCAACGGCCCCGAGTCCCCCACCGGCAGCCTGTCCAGCGCGCAGGAGGCGCTGGTCGCGCTCCAACAGCAGCAGGCACTCCAGCAGCTCCAGGCTGCTGTGGGGCAGCCGCGCCAGTCAGAGTCCCCCGACCCCAAGTTCATGACGGAGAAGTTTGTGAACGAGCTTCAGGTACGTGTCTACTCTACGCTGTGTGTGTTGTGTTGGTTTTTATTAACTGCATTGTATTGAGTGGAACTAGTCTGTCAGTCCCTCCTAGGATGCCTCTTAACCCGTCCCGTTGTGCAGGGAAATAGAACTAGCGAGGTTCCCCTTTTATTCAGGGGTTGAATGAGCGTGGTCAGTGTATACGCGTGCGGTTGATATTTTCATCCGTTCGCTGTGTTTTCTTTCGCCGTTTGGATACGCCGCATGCGAACCTATTCCACGTGTGTGCTTAAAAAACCGCAAATCATACTCAGCTTGGCAATAATACACGAGTCTAATGCACCTGTAATGTGGCGGGGGCCCGCGGTGACCCCCGACGAGCACAGTACACCCCAGCACAGCGGCAGGTAAAAAGGAAA